TCTCCTTTATGATCGCACTCAAAATATTCGTGCCGACGGAATAATGATTAAAATCGCCGATAAAAATGACGTTTATAATATATATAATATATATATACTCCTAGTTGAATTTTCTACAAAATTATTTATACACCTAATCTATAATCGAATGATTTCTCGACACTACAAGTACTATCGACTGTTAATTATGCGTGTGTAGCAACGCAGAATATACTTTCTCCCACCTTATCAACGGTGATCTCAACAGGAAAGTTCGGCAGTGCTCTTTGCGAAAGAGGCTGCTGCTGCTTTTGCGAATTGTTCGGCTTAAAATATCACGCGCGCGCCCGCGTTACCGATATATATCGTCATATAGAATTTCCATCATGTCATGTGCTTATACGTCAACGATTTCTCCTCCTCGCGTAACAGTATTACGATTGATATCGGTTTATTTGGCAATGAGTCTGAGAGCGCACAAGTTACAACGTTGCTAGTTTGTAGGCGTCTGAAAACGTCATTCACCGGCGATTCAACATGCTTGATTGCTCAAAGCGAGGAATGAGTACAAGACAAATACGCGTACACGATATTTAAAATTCATCTTTTCGACTTTCGACTTTCCTTTCTCTCTTCAATCACATGTGTAGTCATGCTACGTACTTGTCGCGTTCAAATAATCTTTTATTTCTCGCCTATGATTCATTATATGTATCCTCATACTACTTAACGTATATAAAGTGCATACTTTTTTAAATATTCAATCTGAATTATACATATATTTGCAATTTCTCTGTTTAAAACGACGTACGAATTGAGCTTCCGACTGGAAACGGAGAGAGAAATATTTGAAAAAATACATTGATAAATACACTGATAAAATCAGATTTTATTCAAATTAGAATCTCTGATATATGTAGTGATTTATGTATAGTATATATTCTGTTTTGTTTTGAAATAGTCTAATATTTTAAAGTGAAACTAATAATAGTATTTTATATTTCTTACGAAATATATATAGATATTTAACGGAGAATTCCCTATTAAAATTATAGCTTAAAAATATTAATTATCATAGCTAAAATTTAGATATGATAACTAAATTTCTAATGTAATATTTAATATAGGGATACCTAAAATTTTTTTCCATGTATTAATGTCCTTTAATAACTCCAATTAAAAATAGATTATTTAAATTTTTTTATAATACCTTTAAATTCTATATAAAGCGCTATAAAATCATGTAGCAGTGATTCGAACATGGAGATTTTGTCTCGAAATATATTTTGTCCATTTCTTATCTATTTATATCCAGATATATACTTATATGCAAGATTAAAATTCTGTATCTCCTTGTCTATTTATAAAGAAGAATATTCAAAAGAATATGCAATTTATGCAATATATTTTTTACATAATTATTTACATACACGAACGAATAAATAAAACATATTATAATTTTTGAAATAATTTTTGTTTTTTAACTTTTGTGAATATATTTTAACCGCGAGGAATAAAATTTGCAAAAAAATCTGCAAGTTTTCGAGCATTAGTCGTACTTACATCATAGTAGGCCCTATGGCCATTCGTCGTGCGGCAATATTTAAAGGTCAACTATGAAAAAAATAGATACGCGTATCTTCATGTTCCATCATCCTTAACCAATCCCGTAGAATTCGATTTTCTACGGAAGGGTGAGTGGCATCCTGTGCTTTTGGACCCCTACTCATTCCTAACAAATTCAAAGGAATTCGCTGCGCTCAGCAACGCACACGCCTTCTCAGATATGCAGATGCATAAGGGCATAACATCGTAAAGGCTGAAACTTGGCCCTTTCGCGGTTTTATAGAGATGTATCGAGATCGTATCGCGATGAACGAGAACCTAATGCGATGCAAAAGCCTCTCTTTCCAATATCCCCGAGACACAACTCCGGATGATATTATCTACGTAATATCGTGCAATCGTGAACTCGGATCGCGAGATTATGTGAACCAGACAAAATGCATTTACCGCGCAGAAGGTGTCGATAGACCTGGTAAATCGCGATTTATACGGAACTTAAATAATTACGGAAAGATATAATCGAGTTCTCTCCATCTAAAATTTTCCATAGATAGATCTTTAAATCAATTTTTCCATCTTTTAATATATGTATATTAAAGTACTGAAAATATTTTTTTTTGTCCTATATTTTGTATGCTCAATTTATATTCAATGGAAAAATGAAACGTTATACCTATAGACCAGCAAAAGTTTTCAAACTTACAAATACGAATTGTAATTACAAATATTATTTTAACCAAATATATCGCAAAAATCATGTAAAAAATTTCAATGTACTCATATATTATTATACCATTTATAAGAAAAATGTATTCTATACTTACTATTTATAAAACAATTGTCATTTTTTGCATTTTCCGAAATGACAAACAGAAAAAAGGGTCTTGCTTAAAAAATAATCATTAATTATTAAACCACCATATTCATCTCGACTAAAGAGCCACACGCGATGTTATTGCGACAAATTAAGATAAGAAAATTTGGAAACTAAGAAATTTGAATCCTATGGTTGGGATCTCAGAAATTCCCCTTGTTCCTTCTCTTAACATCCCCTGTAAAGAAATAGACGAGAAAAATATTGGTCCGAAAGTTGGCTGAATCGGGAACTTTCGGACCAATATTTTTCTCGTCTATTTCTTTACAGGGGATGTTAAGAGAAGGAACAAGGGGAATTTCTGAGATCCCAACCATAGGATTCAAATTCCTTAGTTTCCAAATTTTCTTATCTTAATTTGTCGCAATAACATTGCGTGTGGCTCTTTAGTCGAGATGAATATGGTGGTTTAAAAATTCGAGAGCTGACTTAAAAATATTCTTATCATTAATTATTAAATTATTTGTTGTCTTTCATTTTGTTTCATACAGAAATCTGTTTTATTAAATATTAAAACAAGATTATTATAGAAAAGCATCAATGTTACTGTATAGTCTAGTCTAGGCAAATAAACAGCCGCAAGAGCTTTTCAACTCCCGAGATTTATCCCTTATATTATCACGTTATCGATTGTAGGGATACGACATTCTACTACATATACACATCGATCGAAGACTTGAAGATTATATTTCTCGCATTACCTAGAGTCAGGACATACCTGCACATTACCTATAAACTGTTTATGCACGTGCCAATTATCGTGAGATTTGTATTTAAGTTTTTACACTTGTATTCGCGTCTTTCTGTCGATTCGTTATAACAATCGATGTCTTATGTTGTTAAGTGGTAAATTTTAAAACCACATTTATTTCGCATTATTCGCTGCTTGCCGAAATTATTACAAGTGATTAAGACGGTTTATAAATATAGTAAGTACAGAGAAATATATGTAATTAATTACATCACGAAAATTTAAAATATACAATTGCAATTTTTATTACAATTGTTACTATTAGTTTCATAATGTTGTTTGTAATAATAATAGTAATTATATATATATATATATATATATATATATATATATTATTGTTAATAAGTGTATAACATTAATAACATTGATAATCACATTTGCACTTTGATTATTGATTTGATATTTCTTTTACTTTGAATGTGCCACGATTAGGCAAAAAAGTCACCGAATTAAGACTAGATATAAAAATTTGTAAGTTGTAATTAACAATATATAGACAGCATGATTTTTATAGAGTTTATGTTATATCTAATAAATGTCAGAATATATTAATCTGAAAAAGCTTTGTATAAAATTCTTAAAACAGACACTTTGAAAAAGAGTCTAAAGATTACGTGTGAGATTTGATCAATAGAGGAAATTTCCGTGTGTTACTGTGCTGTTGCTATGTTCGTTACCATATAATTTTGGCCCGCTCTAACTAATGCGCGATGCTTAAGCCTTTCGCATCGGATGCAACGTGCGATGCGTGACGTATCTCTTATCTCAGATCGATCAGATGTGCGAAGTAAATAGTCTGTAATTACCGTCATGAGAAGTGAATCCTTTACAGGTGACTGTATGTAAGACTTGTAAATGAAAGGAGATTCATTTTCTTCTTTAGCAAAATTAATTGATTAACCTTTCGGGCTTTTCTAGTAGCAAATCTTAACACGATATTACACTCTACTAGTACACTCTATTTAGTACCAATAAACAGGAATAACTTAAACGTATTTCCTGTTCTTTCGCGATAAATAAAAAATTATTTAAAATTAGTTTTTTTACTGCCTATAAATGTGTAAAAATATTGTATATTTTAATAGAGAGAAAATATATTTATATATATTTAGAAATAGAATTGTGTTATTATAAATATAAAGAAAAACTTTAAAGGAAAATTTAATAAAGAACAACACTTATATGTATATTCTAACAAAGTTTTAATTAGTACTTGTCTATACTTATTAATATTTTTTATATCCCCGGAAAATTTTAAAAATTCATCTGAAGAAATCTTAATAATAATAATTAAATTTGTGTTTGTAAAATCTTCGAAATATTGTTTGCTCTCTAATATTACATAATAATAATATATACCGATTTTTGATGTGTCTGTGCAGGACCGTCTGACTAAAGAACAACACTTATATGTATATTCTAACAAAGTTTTAATTAGTACTTGTCTATACTTATTAATATTTACATCCCCGGAAAATTTTAAAAATTCATCTGAAGAAATCTTAATTGTAATAATTAAATTTGTGTTTGTAAAATCTTCGAAATATTGTTTGCTCTCTAATATTACATAATAATAATATATACCGATTTTTGATGTGTCTGTGCAGGACCGTCTGACTAAAGAACAACACTTATATGTATATTCTAACAAAGTTTTAATTAGTACTTGTCTATACTTATTAGTATTTATATCCCCGGAAAATTTTTTAAATTCATCTGAAGAAATCTTAATAGTAATAATTAAATGTGTTTGTAAAATCTTCGAAATATTGATTGCTCTCTAATATTACATAATAATAATATATACCGATTTTTGATGTGTCTGTGCAGGACCGTCTGACTGGTCATGGGGGCATCTCCTCACTGGGCGGCGGGAACTCGTCGCCCTATTCCGGTGCTCATCACCATGGACATCGAGGAAACGGAAACGGGGGTGGCATGCCCCACCACGGAGGCGCATCTCTGCCGACCGCCTCCGACTTCCAACCCCCTTATTTTCCACCCCCGTTTCCCTCGCATCACCATGCGCCCGCTAGCCCCCAGCACCCCGGTCTCGGCCAACCGCAACACCTGGATTACCTCGTCAGCGATCCTTATACGCAAACGCTCAACACGCTCCACCAGCACCACTATAATCACCTGAGCGCTGCCGTCACCGCGGGCCAAAGGAGCGGCGATCTCAGGAGAGACGCCGAGCTTCACGTGGTAAGTGCTCGAAATATCTTTCTTGCCACAGAAAAAAAATTAGCTAAATTTTAGCTATCCCTATATTACAACCTGAAATTTATAGTTATCCATGCTTAAATTTTAGCTGTGGTAACTAATATTTTTTAGCTATAGTTTAAAGAAGAATTCTATAGCTAAAAAATATTAGCTATCGTAGCTAAAATTTAATTATGGTGGCTAATTTTTTTATAACGTGTGTCTTCCTCTTTCTAGAATACACTAATTAACTATTATAAAAGATCACAAATAAGGAATCGTACAATTATCATGTTTCCTGTCGTTGGGATAGATAGCTATATTTGATACATTGTAATATTATGTAAATGGATCGAAGATGACTGAAGAAGCTTTTCAGCATCTTTATATAAGAAGAAAGAAATGATACTTAAAAAACGTAGGCTAAAAAAGCTATGAAGAAAAATAATGCATAATTATAAAGAATTATATGTTATACGAATCTCGAGAAATTATTGCTAGAATAGAGTGCATATTGGTCAATAAAAATGTCATTCGTGGAAGATTAAAAAGTACGAATGAAAAACGATGACGGTATTTCGCAGTTATATTCAAATTGAACACTCGGTGCGAATAACATTTAATGACACACGTTCTGCAAGGTTAAAGACAGTCGTATATAACTCTATCGTAAAATATAGTCAACCGCAAAAAAATTCTACAGCCGAGTAACATACTTGACCGATTCGCATATGAGTCTTACATTCCTTAACCCTTTGACTCTGAAACTGTTTGTTCACGCAGTAACATATACATATGATCAATCTTACGTACTCGGACAAATGTCAATGTCATACACTTACATTGAACATTCGAGTTAACTTTTTGCACATACATCTTTTTTATTACTCTATATAATAAAAGAATTGCGATCGCTATTTTTGATCGATAATTCGCCCATTATTAATGTCACGATTATACTATATGAATGACCTGTGTAATGAATGAATTTTACATGTTTTCTAAATCTAAAATCAAATCTGTCAATTAGAAATTTGATATGTTTATTTCCAGAAGGCTTTCGAAAAGTATTTCCATTCAGAAAGTCATATAATATCATATTGTTAATTAGACATCTCAAGTTTTCTGACGATAATAAAGAGACAAAGAAACAGACGGAAAAAACTTTACCGCGCATTTATAAGTTTTTACTTAACCAAACTTGATATACCTACTTTATATATAAAAATATCCATTCATATATCATATATTGTATATAATAATTATTCGAAAATTAAACCCACGTTAAATGCATGTGGTAAAAAAACTCGGATTTTTCGTGCGTCTCGTTGAATAAAAGTGACAATATCTTAATATATTTTCATGCGTTATCCGATGTCATTAATTAAAAAATAATGATTGTCACGCTAAATTTAATAATGCTCGACTTACGATTCTGGACAAATTTATTTAAAGTTATTAAATTTGCAATGTCAATATATTTAATTTAAAAAGAGAAGAATTATGAAGTGAAAAGTAGAAGTTAATTTCTTGTATACATAAAAATTCAAATTAAATTAATTATTTTATTATTATATACAAATTATTTAATTTAATTGATTATCATCATTATTTTATATCTATATAATATATTCCAGAAGAATTGCATTTACAAAGAGATAAAAGAGTTTTAATGTTGACATATGATATTCTAACATAATTCTCCTTTGTACATACCTATACATTTTTTGCATAATTTCAAATCTCAGTCCTCAATTTTAACCGAAGATTAATCGTGATTCACCATTAACCGAAAGGAAAACTCGTACCTTTAACAAATGCGGTGCAAATCGCGGCGTGTAATCTCGGCTGGGGCGGCATCCTTCTTTCTCGCGGGATCTCCGGCGCAGATATCCGGCATACTCGGAAGCATATGGAAATCGTGGCACTGTCGGTCGGCGGTATTCGTCGCGGGGAAATGAAAACCGGCAGAGATCCGGTCACGTGCGTCGCTCGGATACCTCATTAGCGAACCGTCCGTCCGGCGTGTTATTTGTAGGACGCCGCCGCGCGCAGCGTCTCGAGTTGGACACGTAATGACGGGTGGTATCGATCTATTAGACGGGTCGCGGCCAATAAGTCGTCCCGTGACATCGGTGATTGCGATCGTTTGATCCTCTCGCGAGCGCGGCCGCCCGTGGACGACCTCGTCGGCTGGGCCCCGATGCCGTGCGCGACATTTGCATTTGCCACGGTACGGAATGGCCTGCTGCGTGTAATGTGCGCCCTACGTGGACGAGCAACATGTCGAGCAAACGTGTCCTGTCCTTGAGAGATGTCTTTGATACAAGAATCTTTCACGTTACCCGCGAATTTTACGAAGCACTTCTATTAATTTTTTTTTTTTTTTTTTTTTTTTTTTTTAAATATCGTGCATACAACTTTAAGTTTGTTAATACTGTTTGTTTTATTTGCAATTAATTTTTTTAATAATTTTCGTTATCAAACTATACTCGTGTGGACAGGATAAAATTTTTAAATAATTGCTTGTCTTTTTTAAATATACTAAACAATTCTTATATAGATTAAATGATTCCATACATATATTCATCTATTATAATTGAAAAAATATATATCTCTATTAATGGGAGTATATCATTGTTTAATGACAGTAAAAATTTCTTAAGAAATGACATTTGATTTAATTTACAATTTGCTTGCATTTTAATATCATATATACCGTCACATCCAGATGTTGGACTATCGGCTTCTCTCTATCTCTCTTTAAGTCTTAATAATTATTATAAGAATAGTATTCGTGGTCCACCTTGCGCTCGGTATTCACGAAAACACCACCCTAATTACTGCGTCAACACACGCCACTGCCGTCATTTCTATACGGATTACATTCGGACAGTTTCCAAAGGTGTCGTGTAACGCGAAGGAAATACATGCGACGAAATTCGACACGAATGCATGCGTTTTTACACAAGTCCATCCGTTTCGCACACCTCGAATTTTAGAAGAGCACGGCGGTTTGTCGCAGAGAGCATCTGTCCATGCCATATGCAGGCTCGAGTTGCCGTGTCGGCGTTTTATCGAAGACCATGATTATTTTCTGCCCCGTATGATTAAGGGACGTGCATACGATACCATATATACGATACTGCTACCGTAATTTTACTGTCGAGCAACTTGTCGTAAGAACAGAATTTTATAACACGGATGTTATCAGTTGAAATTTTTTTTTAATATCGAGTTTATATCCTTAAAAAATAATCTAAAATTTAAATTTAAAGGATTAAAAATAAATTGTATCTTGTAAATTAATTTTTAGGCAAGCAAAGAGATGAGAAAATATTATCCTAAATTCAATATTAAATTTTATTTCCACAGATTTTTTATTCCTAAATTATATTGCTGAGATAGTTATAAATCACAAAGATACAACATTGTTTTAGCAAAACTAACAAATTTCACGTAATACTTTCCAATAATAAAAAGTGATTCAATAATATCACTGATTGCGATGTAGAAAAGTCTGAACAAACTTTACTCATCCGCGATCAAACGTACGTTATCGATTATCTCAAACATCCCCCTCGATGCTATTTCTTTCTAAGCCGACGGGCATTCTTCTAGGAAGGGTGGATATCTTTGATTTTAATGAAATCTCACATTGCCATGCTTTCGATTTCCTGCAATATCGAATCAAATGCGAAACTACAATTTTGTAATGATTGATAACACTTTTTCTATTATTTTCTGCATCAGAAAATAATTACGATTTTATTAGATCACTGTAAAAATTTTGATTTTGGAAAATGCATCGACTGCGCTTATATATGCCTATATTTTAAACAGATTGAAATACGCCTGTGAGTTCTTGATAGCCATCTATCATAATTCTTTAATGCATGAAGTCAATAATTAACTGACACGAATGAGCCCCACCCATCAAGTTAGAAAAAGAAAAAATTTTAAAACTCTGGTTATTAATAATGGAATAGCAATCAATTGCGATAAAAAGGAGATGATAATGAACAATTTTAAAAAACACGGACAAGAGATTATATCATAAGCTACTTATTGTACAATTATTCGTACCGCGCGTATGTATATATTCCAAGGATATATGTATTGTATGTAGATGACGACATGAATTTACATCTAAAATATTTGTATTTAAATTATTCGTAAATTAGTTTATTACATATATAATAAATTAGTTATTTAATAGCGACTGAACTGAAATCTCAAAGTATTCGTGCCAATAATTTATGATGTATTAAAATGCTGTTAAAATTAGAGTAAATTTAGCATTTTAAAGCTATTTTTCATATTAAAATGTGTCTTTAGATTAATGTGGAGATGCGTTTTTTCTTAATTCTAACAAAAAAAAATTCGAAATTTTACACAATGAGCAAAATTCGTAAATTACTTTTAATCGTCTAAATTTCATACATACTTATCCAATGTTGTATTCGTTAATATACTATATTTGTGATCGAACTTTCAATCAAATTATTGACAAATCAATGAACGGCGCCGGAGAGAAATTCGTTCCCTGCAATTATTAGATATCATTTTCAATTCTAATCGACGATTATCTGAATATTTCGATAAGCGTCTTTCAGAACTCGCCGTGCCGAGGCTCGCGAATTGGAGCGAAGTCGTAGAAACCGATGAAATCGTGCAGATAAACGCTTGCGACAGATAGGCGACAATAAATAGCGGCGCGCGGTTTATCGCGAGAAATCCAGGAGGTTTAACGACGGAGAATGCGAGAGGATCTACGGTTACTTCATGCCCGTCATAAGACGTGACTTTCGGATCCGCTCCGGAGGCAAGACACTACACGGAGAGGGTAGGGAAGGAGGTTGTTCATAGGACACGAAGTCTTAAGCCCCAGCCAGTTCTCCGGAAACTACATACCCGGTGTCTTTGCATAGTTCGCCATAGTTAGGAAACTTGAGCGTTTTGGGTATTAAACGCGTTCCGCGTTTGCGCGTCTCGCCACGGGA